CTGATGTAGCTATCTGTGTACAGAATAGATAATCAGTCTATGAGTCAATTAGCATTTATTAAATGCTCATAATGCGCCACGTTCTGTACTAAAGTAGCATCAGGTCACTGATGTGTTAGAGCTAAGTTTGGAATTAATATTAAAAAAACAAGAAGAAAGAATAATGAGAAAAATTTATGGTAAAAAATTGAAACTATGTAACCTTAGATTATTTAAATGAGCAATTGAAAAGGAAAAAATGAGAATTGTACAATAGAAATTACATCAACAATGACCATAATAGTTTTACTCAGAAGTTTAACCAATTAATTTAATTGTCACCAGAAGGAGACCAAAAGAGTCCACCAAGCACCTTAGTCAGAAAACATTTGACCCACATGGGGAGAAGTGGCTGCCAAAAGAACAGTGAGTTAGAATGTAAACTTGCAGGTGGTGGATGAATAGGAGTGGTATTCATTCACAAGTAGAAAGAAAGAATGGGGAAAAAAACAATTAAAAGAAAATGTGGCAAAGGAAACTTGGATTTCTTTAGATGTGTTTTATATCACAATGCCAATCATTTTACACAACATTATGAAAAAGGGAGGGCAATGTTATTTACCAACCGATAGTTTTCTATTTTGTTTACAAACCAGTAAGGTTTTAAAATATCCAGCAAAAAACTAATTTCCATGTAGTTTATTTCTAGAGACAATTAAATAATTGAACATCTATTATATCAGGAAAAAAGAGAAACTGAGGAAGAATAATGGCTGGTGACAATAAATTAGCTTTTGTGAGAAAGCTGGATAACACAACATGTGTGCTAAGGGGAAGCCAATGGCAGTTGAAGAAAAAAATCTGCTTGTGAATGAAGCAGAACCCAAATGAAGCTGTCAGATTTCTGTTTCTGTGGTGGTTTGGGATGGGCTAAGAAAGTAACCAGGAGATTCACACATTTTTTCATCAGACAGACAGATCATGCTGGAGTCCAAGAAAACTAAGCTGTAGACAGAAATATAAGGAGTTAGACATTGGAAACTGGCAAATGCAACTACTCAGGGTTTAACTTACTATTTTGTTGATTGTCTAGATGTTACAACGTGATAGAGAAAATGGTAATAATGAAGATTGAATTTAAAGTGTGTCACGAGTACACTTTTTCCCCCCAGAGAACCAAGCATTTACCAGGACCTGCTAGCTTTCAAAGCAGCTGCCTTCACAAATTATCTTGTATACTTAAAAGTGTCTCTAGGATGGAAATGGGGGAAAAGCTCCATTATGACAGATAAAGACAAAGTCATGCTATTAGATTTCAAGATTTTATGAAAGGGAAATGTCATTATGTCCTTAATATATTTAAAGGTTCCTATTCCTAAGGATTGGGTGAGGAAATGGCAAACCACTCCAGTATCTTTGCCAAAAGACAAAAACAAACAAAAAACAAAAACAAAAACAAGAACAAACAAACAAAAAAAAACTCCAAATGGGATTGTAAGGAGTTGGACAAGATTGAACAACAACAACAATTTCTAAGGATTTCAATTGGAATAATTCATTCTAAACAAAATTGTAAGACACTGAACCAATATATGAAGTATACAAAGTATGTCAAGAGTCGGGAGTCAGTCCATATACACAATGTTAAGTCCTTAAATTTCACAGAAAATATAGAGATAAGGTTATGCTTACTACCTATTCCAAGATGAGTGGTAATAGCGTTAAGTTACTAAAGCTTAAACTGTACTTTGTAACAGTATCTTTGTATCTTTGTAACATCCTATACAACACACAGGATATTAATAATAGGATTTGAAATACGCCTTTACTGTCAACTTTGCTGGAATGATCATCATAGTTTATGACTTAAAGAAAAAAAATCACATGATAAACTATACCAGACATTTCAAAAGAACCAGAAAAGATTATAGTAACTTTTTTAAAAAAAATTGGAAAGTAACTATACAATATTGGACAGAATATTCAGGGTTGGCCTTAAAATAAAGGACTTAAGCTTTTGTACATTTAGTATTTTGAAGGAAATTTCTTTTTCTATCTCTTTGTTCTATCTATTCTTTTCTATCTCTTTCTGAAGATTTTTGTTGGTAATACAAAGCCTGTGATTTGTTTTTTCGGGGGATGTTTCATATCCTACTACTTTGCTGAAGTTATTAATTATTTTAGTCAATTTTTAGGTTCCCTAAAGAGTAAAAATTATATTTTTTGCTTATGCTTATTCCCTTAATGTCTTTTTATTTTCTTATTGCTAGAGCTAACATTTCTATAATTATATCAAATAACAATGGTGATAACAGTCATTGTTATTGCTTGTATGATATAGTGGAAATGGTGTTAACCTTGGAAGTAGAAGGTGTGATTTCAAATCTTGACTCTTTCACTTACCAACTGTTTGATTTGGAGGAGTTTGTTTAACCTTTCTGAGTCCTAGATTCCTGATCTGTAAGATGAGGGGGTCAAACAAGATAGCCTCCGATAGAACCTTCTGACTCCAAATCTATGTTCCTATGAATGATTACTAGCACTTTGCTATTGCAGATAATATCAACTATTGATTTTAAATGCACATTAAAGAAAGATCCATTTATTCCTTTACTACTTAAATGTTATCAGCACGAAAGGTCATTGTATTTTGTCAAAGTATATTTTTTTCTATCTATTGATATAATCATGTAGTTTAATTATTTTGTTATTAATATGGTCTATTACATTTCCCAGTTTTCCTAATATTAAACCAAACTCTGCATTTCTGGTATAAAACCAACCTGATAATAGTCAATCTGTTTAATATGTTGATATAACCTCTTTGCTAATATTTTATTCAGCATGTTTACATCAGGGCACCTAGGTGGTACAGTGAATAAAGCATTGGCCTAGAGTCAGGGAGATCTGAGACTCTCATATCCCTTTACCACCATGATTAGTATTTTTCTCTCAACATGGCAACTTCCTCAAATATAATTCTATTCTGGATGACATCAGGACTATAGGATCAAAGATTTAGGATTAGAAGTTTCTACAGTCATCCAAATGAGGTCATCCAGTCCAACCTCCTCATTTTACAAATGAGGTAACTGAGGCCCAGAGAAATTAAGAGACTTAATCTAGGTCACATAATGTGGTGATTAAAAAGGTTTGAGAGACATAGTTTCTGAGTAATTTAGTCATTTTGTTAATAAGGCCAGCGCATTATTAATAAAAGGATGGTCATTTGGCCATCTCTCTTAGACCAAAGACAATCATGGCGGTGGGCTCATAGTACGAAGATTAGGTGTTCCTGAAGGGTGGCAATCCGTTTTGACTGGATAACACAATAGGAGGTGAGTTGTATTAAAATGAAGGACTGAGAGTGACATCATGTCACCCTTGAACAGAAAAACTATCTCTGTACTCAGACCACCCCCAGTCTTGGGCTATCTAGACCAAGGGTGGGGAACCTGCAGCTTCTAGGCCATGTGAGGTCCTCTCAGTCCTCAAGTGTAGCCCTTTGACTGAATCCAAACTTAGCAGAACACGTGAAATTTGGATTCAGTCAAAGAGCAGTACTTGAAGACTTAGAGGGCCACCCGTGGCCGACAGGCTGCAGGTCCCCCACCACTGGTCTAGACAAAAGGCTCTGTCTACACCAAAGCTTGATTGAATGGAATTCACCTGAGATTAGGGGTTTTTTTGTAGAGTTAAACTTCTACAATTTAACTCAACCTTCAGAGACTTAGGTCTTGGGGGAAAAAAAGAAAGGGGGAACTCAATCTCTCCAAATCATTAGTTATTAATAATCTTTTCTCTCAATAGATAACGAACAGGTGTATACACAAGTCCTCTGTCTGCAAATCCAGAGCTCTTTCCACTGTGCCAGGGTATCTGGTTGGTTCTCACCTGTGCCTGACTCAAATTGGTTTCCTGCATCATTGCCCACATCCATCTAATAAACTAAAAATGCTAATTAGGCTATTGCTGGCAACTGGCAAGTTACATCCCCCCCAGTCTCTCTGTTGTTGTTGTTGTTTTTGCTGCTGTTTTGTGCTTCATTCTCAAAGAAGATCAATGGCATCACAACTAATAGAGTGTCCCAAAAGCCTCAGGGCAGTTTCAAAGTATTAAAGCTTGAGCTCAAACTAAGACTTTTGGGACGCTCTATTAACCAAATGAGAATAATCATCTAGAAAAACATACTTTCTGGTGCACCCTACAACAGGAAGGTTTTTTTTAAGTGAAATTACTGTCCTATAGAATTATATAGGTAACTCATGGTATGAAAGCATAAAGCCCTGGACCAAGTTCAGGGGAACAGTATTAAAATCTCGTGTCTGTCGCTGCCTGTATGACCTTAGGCAAAAACAAACACACAAACAAAAAAAATCTTGCAGCTCTTTGGGTCTTAGTTTCTTCTTTGTAAAAAAAGGGGATTGTACTAGATGCCCTCCAAGGTCTCTTTCAGCCAGGGACATGCTGGGGCCAGCTCACACAGGCCGAAGCCATTTGTTCAATTTTCAGCGTAAGCATTTACATCTCAGACAACAGTAAATGCTACCAATTGGACTTTGATTTTTGTTCTGTTGATTGTCTTGACTTAAGAAAATCATAGAGGAAATGTTAATAATATAGATGGAATTTTAAAGTGGGTCACGTGTACATTTTTTCAAAAAGCCAATTGTTAAACATTTACCAACACACCACTACTTCAAGCTTTAACTCTATAGTTCTACAACTAGGTGAGACTCAGGTTCTTTTTGCCTCTAAATCAAAAATCCTATAATTTCTGGGTCAATGAATTAGCTGACTTGAATATCAAGCCTATTTGCCATGACAAGGTCATGATCAGGGGGTGTGCAACTGGAGATAAGTTATCATAATTTATTACATCTAAATAATGTAAAAATTAATGAATAAGAATTGCAGATATTTTATGATCAGGTTAAATAAATAGAATACAATATCACTTGAATTTGGAAAACTTTTATTTTTTTCCCAAGAGGAAAGAAAGAATTACAATAAACAGGAAAAGAAAAAAAATACTTATGCAGCATAATATTAACATAATAATTTCTTATAACAAAAAAGGTAAAAAGTGGTTTTGGCCAGTTCATTATAGCATAAATCACTTTTTTTTCAAAAACTCTGTTAGTAGTTCATTTAGTTTTTAAAGAAAGCTACATGAAGAATTGTTCAACTATATTGTAAGCTCTCAAAACTGTTGTAGAATATTATTGATTCTTACTAAATTCACTTTTTTTATAAAATAGATCTACAAAAATGCAAGTATATAAAAGCCACAAACAGGAATTTAATTGTTTCCTTAACTTCTTTACCTTCCCATCTATATATGTATGCACACATATGTATATATAATGACTAACAATGTAAACATGGCTTCTAATACTATTCAATAAATATCTAACAAGATCCATGTGCAATGGCATTATGCCATACTAAAATAGACACCACATGTCTAAATTTATAAGGCAAGTATACATTCCTTTCTTTAAAACTCAAATACTTGGAAATTCTAAGTAAAGTAACACATAACAGATAGATGTATGACACCCCAGTTTTCTTGATCATTATTTCCAGACTGAGATATGAACCTCACCAAATGTGCTAGAGACTACTGCAAAATCTTTTTTATCTTCAGAGCCAGTTGGAGTGAATGCCTTTCATTTAATCTCTATTATCCTAATAATCATAGTTTCATTTTTGGATTAAAACTCACCCCATATTCATATACTAAGCTGTGGAGTGTATTGTGCTTATCTTTAACTCTTGAGATACCAGCTGCCACTTAGTGGAGTGATTTCTAAAGAGTTGGTCAATTGCCAAAGATTTCACTATATAGGAGTAATATGCCATATAAAAATAAATAGCTCAAATAACTTTTAAAAAAATCAATGCCAAGTTCATAATAAGGCAACGAAAATGCCAAGTTCAGGGAGTACTGTCCATAAAGTGGATCCGTTATGAATCCTGGATCAGTGAGTGATGGCTAGCAGACAGGCTGGCTGAAACACACACCCAGAAGAATGTCCATTTTCTTCCAGTATTCTTTGTCCTGTCCCCCTCCAAAAAAAAATTCTTGAAAGATTTTCTGCTAAGGAATCCAAATTTTCTTATAGAGCATCTTCACTTCACTGGTCTTTCTCAGTTCCACTGTTGAGAAAAGGAGAGGATCAGTTTAAACTTCAATCTGTAAGCACATAACCACTGTTTACACTCATTAAAACTGGTGAGTCTTTTAAAGTACAGCTTTAAATTCATTGAGAGATGAACAGAAACATCAATAAATAGTCAGGGGGAAAAACAGTGCTGTGTAATGGGAAGCATTAGAAGTTAAGGTTCAGGAAGATTAGGTTCTAAGAGTTCACATTTACTTCAGTTGCCTGGTTAAGTCAACAAGTATTGAGTAAGTACCTACTGGGGACCAGGCTCTGTGCTAAGGGATGAGGATACAAAGAAAGGCAAAGACAGTCCCTACTTTCAAGGTACTCACAGTCTAAAGGGGCAGAAAACTTGCAAACAACTATGTACAAATAAGATACATCCAGGATTATTTAAGGAGAATCTCAGAGGGAATGCATAAAGATTAGGGAGGACCGAGAAGAGTCCTTTGCAGAAGGTGGGATTTTAGCTGGGACTTAAAGGAAGCCAGGGAAATCAGGAGTTGAAGCGCTATGAGGTAGGTGTTGCTATTGTACCCTTTTTTGCAACAAGGAAATTTACAGAGGTTAAGTGATTTGTCCAAGGTCCTGAAGCTAATAAGTGCTGGAGGCAGAAATTGAATCGTGGTCTTCTTGACCCCAAGTTCAGTGTTCTACACACTGCCACATACACTTCTGTCACTACTCCGTGTGCTGTGATCTTTACTTTCCTCGGCAGTAAAACAAAGGAGCTGAACTAGCTGATCTTTTCCAAATCTAACATTTCACAATTACATCAAAGTATATTCATATGTGTACATATAGATGCATATATATGTATATATGAGAGAAAGAGAGAGGAGAGAGAGAGAGAGAGAGAGAGAGAGAGAGAGAGTCAGAGTCAAAGACCTCTGACCTCATTTTCTCATTTTCAGTGGAATCTGTTCATGACTAAAGTAGGGCGCTAGATAAAAGTAAATCTGGAATGTGAGTCAGTTGAGGCGTTTTCAGCAGAGAAGCGCTGATCCTGGCAAGTTAAGTTTTTCAGAAACTTACATTATTCGATACACACCTTAAGTAAATCAAAGTGCAGACTCATCGTTCATGTATCTCTGGATGAATTTCTTCACCCAAGGAGCTTCAGGGTTGAGACAAATTTCATTCCCCTTCCTCAGAGTGGCTCTGCACGGGAAAAGAGAAGAACCAGAGTGAGAGTGAGTGAGACGTGGCTGGCTCAGGGAGCGCTGGATTGGGGAGTTGGGGGTAGGGGGCAAAAAACCACCTTCCATAATTGGGAGCTGTCAGAGCACAGGGACTCACATGACTTCGTGTCTGGGACAGTGGGGTCCCGCTCTGATCACTTCCACACTGGCTATGTTTTTGGGGTGAATCCCTTGTGTGGTCTTCACACACCTGCAGCGAAGCTCTGTAACCGCCCCTGCCCTGGAAGCTGCGACACAAACAGACATTGGTCATGGGTTACAGTTACCCACGGATCCCAGTCTAACCACTCCGGGGTCATACTCCCTCCCCCCAACCCACGTTACCAATCCTCTTCTTAGCTCCCTTCCTCACCACTGGCAATCCAGGCTAAAGTGGCCAGCAACAAGAGAAGTAGCAGCCCTGACGGAAAGAGCGCAGAGCCAGCAGTGGCTGGGGCGCAAGCTCTAGGGCGCATGGTAATGGAGCTGGTGTGAAGTCCAAGAGGATGTCTGGGCGCACAGGTGGAGAGTTCTTCAGCTTTGTGCACTCCATACACTCCGGAGCCCTTTTATCTATGTCCACACAGGGGCTCCGAGAGGAAATTGGCTGCCCAGGCACTTTCGGGAAATTCCCTGAGCGGATGGGGGTAGGGAAGTGGAGAGTCAGGGGCGGGCTGTGTGAGGTAGGTGGAGGACATCGTTGGAGCTGGCCCGCCCTAGCCGGGAAGAAAGCTCGAAGAGCTCCAGCCTAGCCCAGCCCAGTTTGCCAGTGAACTTTTGCCCTGGGGAGCCTCTGGCAGAGACCAGGCACGAGCCGGCCTTGGGGCTGCAAAGTTACTCCCTGCTGGTGGCCAGACCGTGGTCACTGGTGACGAAGAGATGCTCTGTGCTATGCCAGCTCAGAGTGCGGTTTTCCCGCACGTGGAACTGTAAGGAAAGCTTCTCCACCCTAGAGACCCATTTTTCTTCATTAATTTCGAAGGGCTTAATCAATGAAGAAACTAAGAGTAGGAAAATTGGGTGAATAGAAGAGAGCCTTGTTCCGCATTCCGGCTCCCCGAAAATTTTCCATTTGAAACAGATGTCTTCTAGTGGCAATAAGGACCCCAGAACTTAAAAAAAAAAAGTAAGGCAAGACGTGTGCTGTATGGAGCTAAATTGAGCTTTAAATTTAAAAAAGGGGGGGGGCAGCTAGGTGGTACAGTAGATAAAGCTCTAGCCTTAGAGTCAGGAGGACCACAGTTCAAATCCAGGCTCAGACACTTGACACTTAGCTGTGTGACCCTGGGCAAGTCATTTAACCCCATTGCCTAGCCAAAAAAATTTTTTTTTGAAAGACCCACTTTTTTCTTCCCTCTCCTTTGCCCCATCCTGTCCGCTTCCCTCCCCTCCCCTCTCTCTCTCTCCTTTCCCTTCCCTCCCCCACCTTCTGCCTTCCTGCCCCTGTCTTTCCCTCCATCTTTCTCCTTCATCCCTTCCCGGGCCTAGGTGATGCAGTGGTGGAGATAGCCAAGGAGGCCACGGAGCCCGCCGAGGTGAACATCGCGGGGCTATACTAGGTCGTGCTCCTCAAAATGGCCACGTATCTGACAGACGAGTTGACAGCCGCTAGGGAAGACTATAGACTTCTGGGAAATATGAACAAAGTGACTAGCTTGAAGTGTCTAGAAATGTAAGCTATTGCAGTATACAGTAGACAGAGAGGACTTAAGCCAGAAATGTGCAGAACTTCAAACTTATCTGGATCACATCACTGTAATCCAGGAGCAAGTAGCAGCTCTGGAGCAGGGCTCCTCCAAGTTGGATGCATATTCAAAGAAACTAGAAGCCAAGTACCAAAAGTTAGAGAGGTGACGAAAGAATTCTTTAGCACAACGACTTTAACTACAAGAATGTTTCACAAGAGCCGAAATGCACAGGATAGAATTTATCAAACTTCCCTGCTTGGTGCTGCTGATCCAAGGAAATCCCAGCCCCCACCTTTGGGTAGATGTGTAACCTTGGCCGCCCCTTGATGTTTTCCTAAAACTGTATCCCCTGGAATTTCATCTCATCCTGTGCTTCATTGTGTGCCCTCAGAAATCAGGATCAACCCTGTCTAGAGCAGACACACATAAGAGCCTCTGGTCTCCCTTCCTCCTCCCTCCACCCCCTCCTCTTGGGCTTCATCTTTGACTCCGTTCTCAATGTGTCACCCACTCCCATCATAAATTATTCTTGAATTTAAATAATAAATGCTGATTTATGAAAAAAAAGAAAGACCTTGTCAGTGACTTTCTTTCTCAAGCCACCTTCCAATCTTCCCTAGATTCATCTTCCTTCAAAATATTCCCTTTTACCAAACCCAAAGTGGTAGCTTTTACTAGTGCATTAGAGAGAACTACAAAGCTTACCCCTCATTCCATGGATACCAAAGCTCCCTCTTACGAGATACTGCTTCATATGGTCCAAATATAATTCCTTTTTTAAATTAATTTTTGTTTCTTTTCAATGATCAAATATTAATTTTTCTCACTTCTACCCCTACCCCCAAAGGAAGAAGGAAAACAAAACTCTTGGAACAAATAGGTATCACCAAACAAAACAAATTCACACATTGGCTATGTCTAAAAATGTATGTCAGTCTTCATATTGAAGTCATCATTTTTCACCATTGGTCTTTTGGAATCATAGTTGATTATTGCATTGAAAAGATTTTTGGGGGCAGCTAGGTAGCACAGTGGACAGAGCACTGGCCCTGAAGTCAGGAGGACCTGAGTTCAAATCTGGCCTCAGACCAAACACTTGACACTTACTAGCTGTGTGACCCAGGATGAGTCATTTAACCCCAATTGCCTAAAAATAAAAGATTTCTTCAGTTTTTCAAAGCTGTTCATCTTTAGAGTACTGCTGTCATTGCACAGATTGCTCTCCTGGTTCTGCTCATTTCATGTTGTATCAGATCATACAAGTCTTTGATAGCACAATCGTATTCCATCACGTTTATATACCAAGACTTGTTCAGCCATTCTCCAACTGATGAGCACCCTTCAGTTTCCAGTTCTATGCCACCACAGAAAAACAGCTGCTCTAAAGTTGTGTGCCCATGTATTCTTTTCCTCTTTCTTTGATTTCTTTGAGATACAGGCCTGGTTGTGGTATTGCTGGACCAAAGGGTATGCAGAATTTAGTAACTTGGGGGCAAGCACCAGCACTGATGTGGTGAATCCATCTTTCATCTGACTGGGGCAGTGGGGCAGTGGGGCAGTGGGGTACTGATTATGTTAGGAGTTACACCCTAGAACATGGGGGTGGGCTCTCTCTAAGGTGTGTAGAAGGATTCTGGAGCTTACTCCATGCAATTTTAGACACAATCTGTGTAATGTGAGAGAAAGAAAAAAACTTTTTTTGACTTTATTTGGCCTAACTTCTGAGTAGAGTTTTTTCTTTTTAAACTAGATGTAAGATTCTGAATGCATATCAGACTCAGAGAGAGGAAACTCCTTTTGCCATTGCAGGTCATCACTGGCCAGGGGGAGGTTGGGACTTGCCCAAGGTCACAAAGCCAGCCTACGCTAGAGGCAGGTCTTATTGTGTCTTCCTACCTATGAGTCTAGCTTCAAATCCACTGCCTCTAGGATTTAGATAACACTGAGGAAATATTAAAACAGTTCTAGGGAAATGAAGTGTAAGCTGAAAGGTATTAGGGAGCTTTTAAATCATAAGACCAAGGTACTTACAAAACTGCTTTCCAATTAATCCCAAATAAACTCTTTCAAGCATGAGTGAAATCCTTGACTATCAAGACAAGAAAAGGATTTCTATTAGGGTCACTGTTCATCAGTGGGAACTCTGATCTCCCCCCTTGAAATGTGTTGTCTCATCTGATATGCACACTGAAATACCTCCTTGTGGATTGTCTGTTGAATAAAGAATCTTCACCTGTTGGCATTTAGGGAAAAAAAGAAGTGTCTACTGTAAGAAGGCAGCTAAATTGCCCAACCTGATCAACAAACAGTGAGTCACCTGAATCCTGCAAACTCAGCCAACCACAAAATTCGTAGGATCTAGCTTCCTTCTCTCTTGGGTCTGCTCAAATCAGAAAGGAATGTAGAAATATATCCAAGAAACCCAACATTCAACCTTGCAACACCAAGAAAGTGGGGATGGTTGGAAGAGAAGGGGATTTGAAAGGACATAGTTTCCCTTTGGGAAAATAGAATTTGAGTTCTTAGAGTTTCTGACATGAGCCATTTGTACTGAGATCATTGTCATAGTGAAATAATTGACAGGAAAAGAACCATCATGTACACTGAATGAATGAGTGAGTGAGTGAGTGAATATCACATTTCTTAGAATCACAGTGGGAAAAGTGTGGATTTAGAGTCAGATGGGCTCATTTCAAATCCTGCTTCTGATATGTAATACCTCTGTGTGACCTCTGCCAAATCACTTAGCCTTTTGGGGCCTCACTTTCCTCATCTCTAAAATGGGTTAGTTGAACTAGATGAGGCTTCTTTCATCTCTAAATCTCAGAAACTATAATCTTCATAGCCTGAAGACAGCTAGTCAAAAGTACCTAACTTTAACTACCTCACCACAGAATAACATAAGCATAAAGACTCTGGCTCAAGGTAATTTAAACAATCCTGAACTATTTCTCTGGAACCACTTATACCCCCCACCCCACCCCATGGCTCTCTATAAGCTAGATCAATGGTCTCCACAAAATGTAGGGTTATAGATCCTTATCAGTAAAATTTGTTTGAGCTTATATCCCAAATATAGGTGTATTTATTTATAAATTATGCATGTCATTATTGTTCAGTCATTTCTGACACTTTGTGACCCCATTTGGGGTTTTCTTGGCAAAGATATTGGAGTGGTTTGCCATTTCCTTCTCCAGCTCATTCTACAGATGAGGAGCTGAAGCAAACAGGGTTAAGTGACTTCCCCAGGATCACAGAACTAGTAAGTGTCTGAGGCTACATTGGAATTCACAAAGACAAGTCTTTCTGACTCTAGGACAAGCACTCTATCCAGTGTGCCATCTAGCTGCCCATATATACATGTCTTACTGTGCTAATAATTATGTAAGTTATAAAACAGGCAAAAAATGGAAATTGAATGAAATCTACCTCTAAGAGGACCCCTGAAAGATTGTGGGAAACAATGACTAGATTGGCTGAGAGATTGTTCAGAGAAGGAAGGAGAGAAACAAGATAAGAAAAGACAAAACAAAGACTTTGAATGGCATAGGGAGGACCTCCCAAGCTATAGGTATGTGGGGAAAAAAGCATCCCAATATGTATTTGATTTCCCAGTGCCTATATCTCATAGAAATTCCTAATTGGATGACTTATTGGGTGAGATGGTTCTCTCCATAGTTAAGCTGAGATTTCATCACGCGCCTGATTCTTGTGTATTCTATCACTAAACCAGTCTCTGTGGCTCATCCAGTTACTGTGTTGTTTGCTTTGATAAATGTTTGGTTACTATTTGTTATTGTCTTTTGATTAATGGTGAGAGGGGAAACTAAACTATCTTATATTAACTTAATTAACCTTCCAGATATGAGATAGAACTACTTCTCCCACCCACAGTGACCAGGGAAAATGACTTTTATCCCAAAC